CATCAACAGCAACTGCCATTTCAACCCATCGCCCCGATGCCGCCACTCGCCCCTCCTTCGCTATCGCCCGCCCCACACATTGTAAGCTGTATGTCATTTTTGCGTTTAATGTCGAGAGCTCAACGAAAATTGCTTACCTTTGGTTGGGCGAGACGATAACAGCGCCCAACGCAAACAACAACAAACCCAAAAACAACAATAGCAACAACAACAATATGCAATAAAAACAATAAGCAAGCTGACAAAAAAACCCCGAAAAAAACAACAAACAAAACTTAGAGTATGCAGCCTCAAGATACTCAAAATACCCAGCAAAAACACAAGAGCAGAATTCGAAGCCCGTCAGAGCTTCATAAAATGTAAAACATTTGCTCGAAACAGGCAAAAGTTATTGATGCTCAACGGCCCAAAACTATAAAATATTTGCCAACGATAATAATGCAAGAATTTATTTTTGCTTTTATTATTTATGCTTTCGATTTAAATGCCTGTGCTTGATATGAATTACGCATGAATATTTCTCGAATGAACCAAACATTTTTGCTGTTGTTGTAATTTTAAAAATTTCATCATAAAGAATTTTTGTTAAAACAAATAACGTGCGCGTCTAGTCGATGTTTACCTGTCTGCTCTTTAATTACAGAGTGTATAACAATAGCTAACGGCATATGGCGGCAAGTCGCCGCTCAAATACTCTAACTGGAAGCACTTTATCAACTTAGAATTCTTTCAGCTGACGTTTCCGAGCAGGCAGTTTCGCAGCAAGCAGCCGCCAGCTATAAGCCAGACAAAAGCTGCGCGCTACAAAGTTCATTCACACAAGCCGCTGCAGAATGTGTAAAGAATGCCGCGGGCGCAGCTCAACTGCATCACTTAGCTGACATGGCCGTCTGCCAGGTTGCTCACAGCCCCTGTAACAAAATCAGGCGACGGCTGCCGGCAACGGCGACGGCGACGGCGACAGCGATGCCAACGATGACGGTGACTATTGCAAAGTGCTTTGACTTTGGGTCTGGCTGGTGCTCCTCCTCCTACTCCTACTCCTACTCCTGCGCCTGCTGCTGGTGCTGCTGCTGCCGCTGCTGGTTTCTGGCTGTTGGCAGTCGTAAAAAATGTAGTTTATATTCAAAATAAATGAGGTTGACTTTATTTACGCGCTTATGCTTTTTATGCGCTTTGCAACAAATACTCGTAACAACGACAACAAAAATCATCAGCGCTGATGTTGCTTCTGTTCCCTGCTCTCCACTCTCCACTCTCTTCTCTCTGCTGTCGGCTGCAACCGGGCGGACGTACAAATCAGCAAATGCCTTCGGTGCGGACTGAGCGTAGAGGCGCTTTGCTATTGAGCAGGACTTGCTAGGTGCTGCTGGCATGGTCGAAGTATTCTCTTTTACTTTTTGGATAAACGTAGCGTAAGTGATTTACCAACATTGTTGTTGTTGCTGCTGCTGATGCTTGCTGCTGCTGTGCACGCAAATCAGAGCGCTGATAATTATTTCAGTGTGCTTCAATGCAGGCGAACGGGCGGACAGGCAGGAAGGGTGCTATGGAAGTGGCACCCACTGTCAGGCCACGCCCACCACAGTCATAGCCAACAGAGAATAGTCAAATAATAATTGTACAGTCAAAATGTTGGTGCTGCTGTTGTTGGCACAACAGATGAAACCAAAACGTTCGCTGTTTGGTTTTTGAATATTTTTCCGAAAATTAATAGCGGACTAAAATGTGTAACGGTCTGTCATTGTACGGATTTGTAGCAGGCGGTTCGGCGGTACAAAGCGATGTGCGACGGATAATGTGGGATGGCAGCCAGCGAGCCAGTCAGCCGGCAATTGTTTTTGGTGAGGCGCACGGATTGTCGGCCACTTTATTGTTGTTGGGCCACTCTGTCAGCAGTGGCCGGACGCATTTGTTTGTGATTAAACCGAGCATCGGGGGCCTGTTTAGTTTTTGCGGTGTGCGGCAGACGTGGCGGGCGGCTTTGTCGCCAAAACGTATCAATGGCGCGTTGTTTCCCATGAGTTATTGTAATTGTAACTGTGACTGTAGCTGTAGCAATGGCAGCAAACAGTTGCTCTTGTTGCCGCCGTCAGTGCTGCTGCTCCCGCTGCTGTCGTCGCTGCCACCGCCGTCGCCGCTGCGGTGCGAGGCAACTGAAAGGATTGCGGTGTTTATTCCTCCGCAATACAATTAGCTATGGCCGTTCTGCTGGGTGAGGGGGCAATGCCATGGTCATGTGCTGGGCGTGGCGTTGCGGCTTTAACTTTATTGAATTGCGAGTGAGGGGGCCCGAGCTCTGATGGTGATGGATGGTTAAGTGGATAAGTGGACAAACTGGTGCCGTTTGTTCGGTAAGAATTCAATCAATCATTCTGGGTTGGCCAACGGCAACGGCATGTATACGCATGTACAGTGCTCCATTGTGCGGTCTGCAAAATGCTAATCAAAGTTAAAAACTTGAATTAGCGGCGAAGAATCAGGCCCCCTGATGACTCTTATCAATTGATGAGCAGCGGATTGAGAGCACTTGACATGAATCAGTCAGCAGCATCAATATTAATCATCTTAAGCTAGTCCAAGTCACGCATTGATCATTGCATCAATGAGGACTAGGCGCACAATTATAATCACAAATCTGACTAATCTAATGAATTAAATACAATAAATTAAGAAAATTGTCCATTTATTGAACGTGGTTAAGAGTAGGGTTATAAAGTCTGAAAGTCTTATATGTGTGAGGTAATACCACGAGTGGTAAAGATGTTGAATTCAAGTTATTTGTATGTTTAAGCACATGTCATAGACATTCAAATATAAAAAATTAAAATGTTTTCGTTGAGGACTTCAAACTGAGATACTTGAGCTAAGCAAGTATTAAGTGAAATATATATGTTTTGATGAACTTCGAATACAGTTGACCTATTAGTTATTTTTCAATTTATCGAAGGCACTCAAATTGTTAGCAGATTTATTCTTGTGCGAAGCCTTTGAACGACTCATTTTCTTCTGTAATAGTAAAGAAATTCGTTACAAAATTGTACATTATTTATGTCATGGAAACATACCATCTTGGGGGCTGTGAGATTACGGCCTGTGTCGTTGTCTGCGTCATCCTCGGTTTCAGTGTTAAAGTCAGAATTGTAGCATCTAGCATGAGTACGTTTGATTTGCCTGCGGCGTGCAGGTGTGGCTTCGTCTGTTGAAATCTCAGTGGGTCCAACTGAATTTACAGCTATTGCGTTTAATTGAGGGTTTTTGTTAGTAATCGGTTGGGTCTGGTTAGTAGTTAGCATAGCGCTCTTTACTGGAAGAACAGAAAGATTCTTAATTTGGTTGACTTTATAGGTAAGTTCCGCTATGGTGTTCTGCTAGAAGAGAGCTTTCAATTATAAAGAGTCTTCAATGTTTGCCTGCCCAATTATTGCACTCACATTTTTCTGACGTTCCAGTTCGGCAACTTTTTGTTCAAACTCCAAACGGAGCTCCTCCTTTTGCTGTATCTCGACCTCCAGAGCTATGATGTTTGACTGTAAATTTAAAAGCATTAATTTAATATCTTGGCCCAAGCTGATTGGCATTTACCGCATGGAGTTCCTTCAGTGCCTGCAACTTTTCGGCCAAGTCGGCCTTTTCGGCTAACAAGGTTTTGGTTGTATCCATATGCTCCTGCTGAAGTTGTTCGAACTTTTTCTTCAGATCAATGGATTCCTGGTTAGCCTTAGCCACCTCATTTTCCAAGGCAGCATTAGCCTCATTATTCATATCCTTTAAAGAGTTGTTTGCCTCAACAAGCTTGGCAATGTCGAATTGATAACGCTTTGTTTCAGACACCAATTCCGAAATCTGCATATTTAATTCCCTTATCTTCTTGTTATGATCCTCTATTTCAACTTTCAGACGGTGAGCAATGTCAGACACCTCAGACGACAACTGACTATTGCGATTTGAGAGTTCAGTGCCAAACTCCTCAGCATGTTTCAAATTAGATAAGGCTGACTGCAACTCAACGTCACGCACTTCGCTGTTTTCTATAAGCTCACGAATTGTAGCCGCCTGCTCCTTCACCTCCTCTTTCAGCTGGGCGGTCTCGCGCTATAATACAAGAGTTTTGGTTTTTTTATTTTTTAGAATTGTGGTCACACCCATTTGATTTCTCTCACCTCGTGTTTCTGGGACACATTCTCCTTATACTCCTCAAAAAGCTCCTTCAGTTCGACATTATAGGCCTGCAGTTGATCTGCCTTCAGTTTTAGTTCGGTCAATTGATTATCCTTCTCCGCCGACACGGCTTGGAGTTGGGCCACCACCTGCCTTTGCTGGAAGTTCTCACTCTTCAGCTAAAAAGATAAGATGATAATGATATGATGTTCGTCTTCTATGCAGTCTGTTGGCCATTTACTCACCTGTTCATTAAGTCTGTCAACCTGTTCTAATTCAGCTTTTTGTTTGATCATGTTGGCATTCAATATGCTGAATTCCCTATCATAGGAAATCTCTAATTCGATATACTTCGAGTGGCAAGCCATGTACTTATCCTTCAGCTCACAGTTTTCCTTAGCTAAACCATCACATATGGCCTTCACATTTTCCAGTTGCTCCCTAATATCTTGAAGCCTGTTAGCGAATGGCAAAAAGTGTCAACAAATGTCTTACTATAAATACAAATTACAATGTTTGAAATTACTGTCTCTTCAATTGAGCATTTTCCTGGTTTCTCTCGGCAATGAAAATCTCAGTTTTTTCCATTTTCACAGATATCTCATTCGATTTCTTTCTCAATTCCTCCAGGGACATCTTGTGATGCTTCACGAAACACTTGAGCACATTTGCGGAGCTTGTCGGATCAGATTTCGGGGAGTTGACCTTTATTACAATGGGCCTATTCATTTTGCCTTTTCCGGTCTTCGAAGAGGTCTTCGAGTTTTTACACAAATTCTCCTTGGTACTTGCCTTTACCGAAGACATGTTTATGGAACGGTGCGATGAAGATATATTTATGCACCTTTTTAATTAAAGGCTTTAGTCTCAAAATACACATAAACAAAGGTGTTTTCACAATTTACCTGATTTAACAAACAATCTTCTCGAAAGTTGACCTGTATGTGAAAATTTGCAATTGGAACGCGTCAGTGAACTCATTTGTCATTGCCAGCACAAAAAAATATCGATTAACCGATATTTTGCACGTGTTTAATGTGAGTGATATATATATATATTTTTTAATAATTGTGTTATGATTTGCCAAGAATAGGTTAAATTGAATTGAAAAATGCTAAATATGCGAGTATTGCCCAGTATATTAAGAGCACAATGATTATATAAAATATTTATACATCTATTCAATTTGCAATATTCGATAGTGGCAGCGATATTTATGCACATGTATTTTTACTACAGATGGCTACGCTGGCAGCTCGGGCTACTAATTCCAATACAGACGAAAAAATTTATGTATGAAACATTTTATATGTATGTGTAAACGGCAATAATTTACGTGTTTACGTATACTGCATATTGTAAAGGCTGTCATGTAAAAAACAATGATTTTTGAATAATTTACTCGATTAAAAGCAAGGGAACGATGAACATATACATATGTGTGTATGTACGTACATACATACATACATATGAGTGTGCACATTTACGTAAATCTTTTATTAAAGGCTTTGCTATCTAAACACATTTTGCAGAGATTTCTGAACAGCTTACCAGAAATCTTTCTCGAAAGTTCCTTAGAGCGTTGAGAAGATGATGTATTTGTGTATGTCGATTGCTATAGGTTCCAATATGATACCACAAGAAATTTGTCACGGCAGGTTTGTTGAAAGCGAAAGTGTGCAATAAGAACACGACAGTCCACTGACTTTGACAGCTATTGGTAACTGCAAGTAACAGAAAGTATCGATACTTAAGTTTTTCAGCGAAGAAATAAAGAAAGTATGTACGGGTGGCTACCCTGGCCTGCAAAAACTCATACATACATACATACATATGTACAGACAAAATAATGACTACTCATAAATAAAAATGCTATTAGGCTTTACCAATGAAGCCTTTATCGGACAACATGATGAAAATACACATATTACATAAAAATATATACTACTAACTACCTTTTAAACAATAAATTCTCCAAATACATATGTATGTGTGAATAACCTAATTTAATTCAAAGGGAAATAGTTCTCGAAAGCTTAATCGCACGATGCGCTGATAATATATTGGCGTACTTTGATTATTAAAGGCTAAATAATTTCACAAGTAATCTCCCACGTGCGTTTGTCGCTCGAAAATGAGAACGTGCGATGACTAGCTGAACCAGCTTTTAGTCATTGCCAGCACAATAAAGTATCGATAGTCCTATACTTTACACGAGCTTAGCTATTGATACTTTGATTTTAATGCATATTTTGTATATGTGGCTACGCTAGAAGCTTCGGCCTGCGAAAAGTCTTATATGTACATGCTACAAACAGGGACCTTGAAAGAAAATTAAGCCTCTAGTTGTTTTGCTTTAGGAGATAAACACGTTCCCACATACGGACAGACGGATAGAGCTAAATCGACTCAGCTCGTCGTCCCTATCAAGAATACATGCACTTAATGGGGTCCATTACGCCTCTTTCTGACTCTCAAATACATATGATATCCCAAAATTTACTTATTTACAAAATAATTACTATTCGTAAATGTTTACGAGCCCTGACTATAAAACGCTCTAGTATGCAAATATGCACATACATACTATGTATATACATAAGAACATATTATACAAGTTTGTGAACTTACTTTATTTAAAAAAAAGTTCTAGAATGTCATGGAACGATGGAGAAACATTTACGCATTTCTCTATTCAAGGCTTCAAGCATCAAGGTAAACTTTACAAAGATTTGTGAAAAACTTACCTGATTTAACAAGAAATATGTCTCTATATGCTTTAACCAATGAAATAATGATACTTATTTATTATTACTTATTAATTATGGTATTCACGAATATTGAAAAGGTTGTAGTCTGATTTTAAAATAAATTTTTCACGTCCGTTTGCTCGAAAGCTAAAATGAACAATAAGAACACGTCAGTGCACTAAGTAGCTAAACTAGCTATTGAGCATTGCCAGCACAGGAAAGTATCGATAGTCCTAAACTATTCACGAGCTTCGGTATCGATACTTTGAATTTAGTGCATATTTTGTACATGTGGCTACGCTAGCAGCTTCGGCCTGCGAGCAGTACATACTACAAACAGGGACCTTGAAAGAAAATTAAGCCTTTAGCTGTTTTGTTTTAGGAGATAAACACGTTCCCACATACGGACAGACGGATACGGCTAAATCGACACAGCTCGTCGTCCCTATCAAGAATACATGCCCTTAATGTGGTTCATTACGCCTCTTTCTGGCTCTTAAATGCATTTTAACAATACCCTGATTTCCCAAAATTTACTTATGTACAAAATAATTACTATTCGTAATTGTAAATCATCTACATATGTTACCATGATTACCGACGACGTGCTCCCATCTATGTAGATTTACGTACCCTGACTATACAAGTAGAATGTCATGGAACGATGGAGAAACATTTACGCATTTCTCTATTCAAGGCTTCAAGCATCAAGGGACACTTTACAAAGATTTGTGAAAAACTTACCTGATTTAACAAGAAATATGTCTCTATATGAAATTATGATACTTATTTATTATTGCTTATTAATTATGGTATTCACGAATATTGAAAAGGTTGTAGTCTGATTTTAAAATAAATTTTTCACGTCCGTTTGCTCGAAAGCTAAAATGAACAATAAGAACACGTCAGTGCACTAAGTAGCTAAACCAGCTATTGAGCATTGCCAGCTCAGGAAAGTATCGATAGTCCCAAACTATTCACGAGCTTAGATATTGATACTTTGATTTTAATGCATATTTTGTACATGTGGCTACGCTAGCAGCTTCGGCCTGCGAAAAGTCTTATATAAGTACATAGTACAAACAGGGACCTTGAAAGAAAATTAAGCCTCTAGCTGTTTTGTTGTAAAAGATAAACATACAGATGGACGGATAGGGCTAAATCGACACAGCTCGTCGTTCCTATCAAGAATACATGGACTTAATGGGGTCCATTACACCTCTTTCTGACTCTTAAATGCATATTAACAAACTTACAACACTTTGATTTCCCAAAATTTACTTATGTACTATTAGTTAATGTTTACGTACCCCAACTATAAAAGGCTCTAGTATGCAAATATGTACATACATACTATGTTTGTAAAAGTTTGTAAGCTTACTTTATTTAAAAAAAAAAAGTTCTAGAATGTCATGGAACGATGGAGAAACATTTACGCATTTCTCTATTCAAGGCTTCAAGCATCAAGGGACACTTTACAAAGATTTGTGAAAAACTTACCTGATTTAACAAGAAATATGTCTCTATATGCTTTAACCAATGAAATTATGATACTTATTTATTATTACTTATTAATTATGGTATTCACGAATATTGAAAAGGTTGTAGTCTGATTTTAAAATAAATTTTTCACGTCCGTTTGCTCGAAAGCTAAAATGAGCAATGAGAACACTTCAGTGCACTAAGTAGCTAAACCAGCTATTGATCATTGCCAGCACAGGAAAGTATCGATAAGCCGATATTTTGTATACGTTTACTGTGAATGGCATTTTGCAATAATTGTCTCGAATGCTTGGAAATTTGAAATGTATGGAAAATATCAAATATTACGCTTCAATATGTTTAATTAAGAGCAAAAGGACTACATAATATATTGATACATCTATTCAGTTTACAATATCCGATAGCATAACGATATTTGACCAAAATATTTACAGGTGGCTACACTGGCAGCTCTGCTTGTCAAAATGTATTAGAAAACAATAAGAATTTGTAAATGGAAATCGTTTACAATCGCCAATTAAGTACTTCGCGCCCCCTGATCGATCAGTGTATTTAAGGAACTGCAAGTGAGTTGATCAAACGATGTGAGATGTGTCACACCCACGAATCAGAAATGCATCAATCAAAATTGCATTTCAATCATCAGCGACGGTCAGCTAATTTCACTGAACAGTGGTAAATCTGAATTACAAACTAGTTTTGACAATCATTAATACTTCTATATATATTTAATTAGGCTGCCAATCAAACAATTAATCACAAGGCCATTCAGTCACTGCCAAAGCAATTAAAATTAATCAACAATCAATCAAAATGTCACCGAGCGCACGCAAAAGCCCCAACTGCAGCTATTTATATACATACATATATACATACACATATAGGTGTATACATATATGCACGTATGTATGTATGTGCAATCTTTGTCAGGCAATCAATTAGTTCCCGCTCAGGACCTGCTCCAAATCATCAGCATCACCAGCAACAATCGTGGAATGTATGTACATATGTATGTATGTATGTATGTATATTCAATCAGCTGACCTCGATGTCTGGGCTGCTCTTTGGCCATGGCCATTGCCAATATGTGCTCGTATAATCAAAAAACAAAAATCAAACACGCACACACACACACGCACACACACACATACGCACCCAATCTACGCCATTAGCCATATAACCTATAAGCTCATACAGCCCATAACCCGTAACCCCAAAGCTGTAACCCAGTTTCAATTGAACGCTTTTTCACATGCCAATGCACCAGCCGCCCGCCCACATACCTCCGCCCCCTGCCCGCCTAGCCCACGCTCCACTGCTCATCAGGATCATCATCAATTGGCATGCAATGTGTGACCGCGACCGAGACTAGGCAAATGCTTGCCGAATGCGAGGTTTTATTTTCGGCCGGATTTCCAGGGTAATTGAAGCAGAGAGTGAGACGGAGAGGGAGAGGGAGACAGAGGTATGTACTCGGTCTACTTTATGCCTATTTGGCTTATATTTTTGTTTCCTTTTTATTTTTTGTTGTGGTAGACCAAGCAAGGCAATAGCACAACTAAATTGAAATCAAACCCAGACGCACCAGCACTCACACGCACACGGATACCCGCACGCACGCACGTGCGTGTCACGAGTCGGGCGCTAGGCTAGGCTTTACGTGGCGACTTTAATTGCTGAGGTCAGGAGCGGCAATCAAAAGGCACTGCAAAGAGCACCATCAAATCGAGCTGAAAACGCGCGCATCAAGCGTCGCTCGCCAAAAACGCCATCAATTCTGTCGCTGGGCGGGCGGGATGGAGATGGATGGAGATTAAGCTGAGTGTTAAGTGCGCCGCCATTGCGTTAACAAATCTTCACTACTCTCGCTTTAACTCTCCCCTCATACGCTCTATTCTCTTTGTGTGCGTGAGTGCGTGCTTGTGCTTGTGTATGTGTGTGCTTATGTGCTGCACTTTGTAAAAGTGTTTTGCCCATTTACGAGCCAGCGAGCTCGTCGAGCGTCGGCGCTGATTTTTATGCCATGTTTGGCGCTGACTGTCAAGCAAACGCCTGCCGCTAGCCGCCAGACGCCACCTAGTGGCAGAAGCAGTCCCTTCGCTGCCCCGCCATCTGCTTTGCCTTTGTCAATCAGTGAGCGGGAGCGTGAGTTAGTGTGCGTGTGTGTGTTCATCTCTGTTTCTGTGTATGAGTGCATGTGTGTGTGTGTGTGTGTGTGTGTACAGTCATTTTCATATGTGAGTGGGCGTGGCCATGGCATGAGCGCACTTGCTACAAGTCTTGTTTGCCGTTTGCCACTGCCACTGCCACTGCCGTTGCCTGCCGCAGCAACAGTGCTGCCAGAAATGCACACGCAGCAGCAGCAGCAGCAGCAGGAGCCGCCGTCAACAGTGGCGCCACCTACACGGCCCCCACCCACAACAAGATATATGTTGACAGCTTGTGAAAATATGAGCAACGTTTTGCTGCTACCAGCCAAATGTGTTGAAAAATTGAAAAATATTTCGCCATCGATGCACTAAAATATGGTCCATGACGAGAGGAGGGAGGCAGGAGGCGGGAGCCGAGAGGCGAACGCCAAATCGCAGGCGAGAAATGCAAAGCAACAACAAAAAAGCCAAAGAAAACCCAACACAGCAAAGCGAAGAAGAAGAAGAAGATGAAGCACAACGTGTTGGGTTTTGTGTGCCAAAAAAGCAACGGGAAAAAATTGTATTTGGCGGCGCGCCAGACTATAACAAGAGAAATAACAACAACAGTAACAACAACAACAACAACATGAAGCAGAAACAACACCAGCCACGCCTATAGCCAGCCATAGTCCTGATCGAGTCCTCTGAAAGTCTTCTGGCTGCGTTTACTCTTTTGTTATTTAAAAGTTTTTTTTTCCTCCACTTTTTCGCTTTATTTTCTCCAGCTCCATCTTGGTCTTCTTCTTCTTAGCTCCTTTTTTTTTGGCTGGGGGCTTTTATTTTGATTAACTGACAAGCGGCTGGCAATTGGCACAATTGAAGGCAACTCCTTGGTCCTAAGTCCTTGTTGCAGGCATTGTTGATTTAGGATAACGCCAGCCAGCTGCCAAAAGGTTAACGTTAACGAATTTATATTAAGGCCACCAACAAAACGCCCGAAATAAAAAGACAAAATATGCCAAAAAGCCGAGAAAGGCTATTGTGCGGGGATCCGGTGAGCCGACGGGCCGAGGAGTCGAGGAGTCCAGGAGTCCAGGAGTCGGGTAGTCGGGTAGTCGAGGGGCCGAAAGATGAGATGAGCTCAAAAATTTGCTTGCTCGCCATTTACCGGTCGCGGCAACAAAGAGATAACAGAAATCTGCACATCGCCCCATAACTCTAAAGCCACATTGAAATGTATATATAGTAAGTACACACACCAGCACACTAACACACACACACACACACACAGACACAGACACACATAAATATACATACTTTATGCGTAGCACAAAAGGCAACAACTTGTTAACTTTGCTTTTTATTTTAGGGACACTCTAAGTTGGGGCAGCCTGGCCTGCGAAGTTCGGGTTTGGCTTTCATTTGCTATACGCTGTGCGTGAGGTTCAAATGGGGCATATTGGTTGCCAGCCAGCTGCGTGCATATGACTGATACTTGATACTGAAGCCCATGTCTGCGTGTATGTGTGTGTGTGTGTGTGTGTGTGTGTGTGTGTGACAGCAACTCCTGCACCAACTTGAGACTGACTTCGCTGCCAAGTGCAACTCAGCTCGGCATGTGACGGATGAAGGTTTTTGTACTCGACTTGCCAACATATACGTCATCATCGCACGCCCTGGCTCTAGCTCTGGCTGAGGCACTGTGCCCTTCACTCGGGACTGGGTGTTCTACAGTCGCTGCGACTCTTTGGCTGCCCGTCGGTAGCAGCTGCTTCGCCGCACAGACAAATATGAGGGCTTTGACTTGGCTGGGGAGAATGCTGCTCCCGCTGCGCCCGTTGCCTCCCCCCTTCCCCTCTGCTGCTGCTGCTGCTGTTGCTTGGCGCCTACTGTGCCGGGGGGCCATAAAATTGGCGTCGCCACCGCGTGATTAGGAGCCGCGACGCGTTTCATTTAGCTTGTCCTCAAGGCTCCCGCAAACATTCAAATACACACACACACACACACACACACACGCATAAACACTGAGTACTTACATCTTGTATAAGTAACGTAAATTGCTGAGGCTCTGCGCCAAATTGAGAGGCATTCTTAAAGGCCAATCTCAGGAGATGGCCATTTCTGTATGTGAAACGATACCCACCGGAGTTGCTCATTGAAAGCCTTTGCCCCCACAACGGCCCCACCACTACGTCATTTATTAAAAAAAAAAAAAAAACAAGTAAGAAAGCTCTAGTCGAGACTGCTCGACTACGAGATCCCCTGAACCCTTGGAGCAATAGATATTTCAATACTTTTTCGCGACTTTCAGCTTACACACACACACACACACACACACACACACACGCACGTACGCACACACAGGTATACATACACACACACGCATACAGACACACATACACACACACACGCATACAGACACAAACGCATACACACACACACATACACACACACATACACATACAAGCAACCACGGATAAACACGCATGGGCTGCAGTGTGCGCTTACTATGAGAACTTAATTGTTTAATAACTTCTTTTATGGACGTACGATCTTCATGAAACTTTTAGATTATGATTATAACATGAATATGCATGTAATTGCCAAAGCACAAGTCTCTAGTATTTGAAATACGCTTTTTACAAAAGTGAGGGTGAGGGGGTGAATTTAGAGGTAGGGGGTAAATTTTAACAAAAACCGAAATTGTATAAATTGCATATAAGCATACATTAAAAATTTGGAGACTCTAGCAATAAAGGTGTAGAAGATATAATTTTATAACTGGGTTTCGATAAGGTTTTTTATCGATAAAAAAAGATCGAGATGAGTTATCGATTTTTAATGATAAACTTGATATGCGCGCTGTAATTACGGACATTTTAAAAAAAATTTGAAGTCTCTAGCTCTTATATCTTCTGAAATCGACGCGTTCATACATACGGACAGACGGACAGACGGACAGACGGACAGACAGACGGACAGGGCCAAATCAACTCAGCTCGTCACCCTGATCAAGAATATATATACTTTGTGGGGTCTGCCACGCCTCCTTCTCCCTGTTACATACATTTCAACAAAACCATTATACCCTGATTTCCCATTGAAAATGGGTTCAGGGTATAAAAACAAAGCTCTTTGACCCTGGAATACATTAGAAATTAGTAATTGGTTTAACGAGAAATTATTTTAATATTTCATAATCAATTATTTAAAAATAAACTTTAATTTCACATTTATATAAAAGCACAGATTTTGTATACACTTGTGAATATATACATTGGAAATTAAAGTTCTTTTTAAAAGCTATATATGTATGTATATGTATATCTGACTTTAGGTTGAAGCGTATCAAGACTGCGGTGAGGAACAGCAGGCGGAACGACTACATCATCAGGAGATGCGAGCACCTACTTTCGGGCATCTGGCAGAATATTAAAGCATGATGGCCCTGTCACAAGTTCCCAAATATCCAATTTACAACTTGCGGCTTCCACGTTGTCGGAAACACCAGCACACAACACACAGGCACAAGTGTTCGCTTTTGGCTTCAATTTAACAATGTATTTTTTGTTCATTTGCTCAGCTGCAGGCGAGCATATGGAGATCGAGTACAGTGAGAGAGAGAGAGAGAGAGAGAGAGAGAGAGAGAGAGAGAGAGAGAGAGAGAGAGAGAGGGAGAGACAGAGAGGCGGAGAGAGAGAAAAAGAGAGAGAGAGGGAGAGCGAGAGAGAGAGATACGCAGAGAGCGACATTTCTGCTCCACCTTTTCCTGTTTTAATTACTTTTAATTACTATAATATATAATTACTCAGTAATTACCTTCACCTCTGCCCTCAAAAGAACCCATCTTTAAATGCCATTTTAAGTACTTATAATTATAATAATATATATTTACTAAATAATTACTTTTAATTACTTATAATTACTTAATAATATATGTATACAAATATAAAATTACTAAACAATATTCGATAACCTAAACATATATCTAGCTCTTAAGCATAATCTTCAGTAATAATAAAAATATCATTCCTTCTTATAAGCATAACTCTTAGTAATAATGCAATTATCATACCTCAGCTAAAATTCTCTCAAGTCGTCTCACAGTGTAAAGTGTAAGCATGTATGCCAATGAATGACAATTGTGGGGCTTCTACTTTCTGGAAGTAGTTTGAAACGGCTCCACCTACGTCCTATAAAGGACCAAGAAATTGCGTGAACAAATCTGTTCAAACTTTAAAGTCAATAAAGCTGTAGGTGTGCACATTAAGTTAAGTCTCGCTTGCAATCTTTATTAGTCACTTCCAAGAAGTGTGCGTGTATTGTTTAAGAAATCCTACAAAAATTACCTCAACAGAGATCGAAAATTACCCAAATAAGAAAGCAGTCAACGAACCTTTTGTTCCAGAGAGAAGCGTAAGACTTTTCATGCAATCGACGGTTACTTTGACATATATACATACAGCCATTCGTATGTATATGTAAATACTTTTTGATTTTGTAGACGCCGTCTTATGTGCAGTCAAAGAATTCTTGATAAAATTATAATACCCGCAACAAGGACACGCACAGCGAGGCCCAGCAGACAGAGAGGCAGACAGGCAGACAGAGAGAGACAGACAGCCGATAGGAGTAAACGAACGTTCGGTGGCTCCATCGACAACAGGGTCCACAGCATATGTTCCCAAAAAAAGAGACACGCATCAGCGCTGTATGAAATATCAGCATCAAAAGCAAAGGAGGCGAGGACACCCATATGCTCGCTCCATAAATGAGGACAACAACAGTCTCGCAGAATGCATATATGTATTTACACATGAATGTATTTATGCTTAAAATCTTGTACAAGGTACCAACAAAAGAGACAGACACGCACAGAGAGAGATAGAGACAGACAGAGAGAGCGAGAGAGAGAGAGAGAGAGTGAGAGAGTGGGTGGGACAGATTACATTACTTGAAATTTGATAATAAGCTGAAATGCGAACAGAGTTCGCTTTGATGTTCGAATTGTCGATGAATTTGCATGTCGAATTTGTGTACGCTATTATCTGCGGTTGCTTGGCGCCACCTGTTGGCCGTCGTGGTAACTAATATGATTATTGTGCTTCATTTGCAAATTTGCCGCTATCTCACAGCACTTAAGACTCTCATCTGCTCGGCTTAGTAATTGATATTCTTAATTGTTCCAACCAACTTAGTCATTGTATTAAAATATTTGCAAGTCTTAGACACAAACTTGAGGCTTAATAGCCGACTTAATACTATCATTGTCTGGCCATCGGCCTGCTCTCTCGTATTGATGAATAAATGCGCCCAACTGTGGGCGTGGCATGGGCTGCTATGGTGATAATTAAAATAGAAATTTGCAGCTAAATATGAGTTGAGCTACGGCTAAAGCAAAGCCTGCATACGACACTAGCAACAAGCAGCTGCAACAACTACAGCAGCAGCAACAACAACAACAACATTGTGAAGTCAGCAACTAACTAATTGCCACATTTTAGTCTCAGCTTCTTTGCAAGGATTTGAGTTTCGTTGTCCGTTCGCATCGACTGCTTCTACCTGCATTGTTGTTGCTGCTGCTGCTGTTGTTGTTGTTGCTCTTCGGGGTGTCATGTTCACAAATTGCTGCTTATTAATGTCAGAAATTTCTAATTGCAACGCTGCATACAAATTGTTGTGCAGCCCCGCCCACTGCCTGCTCCCTCCACACTCCGCCCATGGCTTTCTATCTGCGGCGCTCAAACTTGGCTGTGAAATATTTGCACTAATTTGAACAATAAATTTTGATTATTTGTGTGGTATGTGTGCGTGTGCATGTGTGCGCGCATGTGTGCGTGAGTGTGTGTGCGTGTGTGTGTGATGTGATTTGCCTGGCTGGCCATAACGAGGCAAGCGAAACCAAAATTTAGCTTCAAGTTTAGCCTGACAGCAGCCGTTAGACTTGGTTGGAGAAACGGCATCCGAATCGCCGCAATTCAAACAAACGCAAACTTTCAGCCAGCCAGCCAGCCAGCTGCCCCGCCCACACAGTCACAGTCAGGGCAAGTCAAGCCCAAAATACTCATAATCAAAGCAAAAATTTGCATAGTTTTGAATACACTTTTGTCAGTCTAAATGAGAGGGAGAGCGAGCATTATGTGCTTTGAGCCGAGCTTACTCTTTCACTCACTGAGAGAGACGTAGAAGGGGGGGGGGGGAGTATTATAGTATTATAGATAGGCAACAGCAGCAGAAGCAGCAGCAGCTGTCGATAATGGTGGATTTATTACAGTTCGAGGCAGCGAGAAAGACAATTAAAAGGGCAATTTTATAGTAGCGAATCTCCCGTGTATATTTGCCGAGGCAGGTATGCCAAGTGCACACACACTCGTTTGCTCTCTCCCCCTCTCCCTCCCTCTCTCTCTCTCTCTCTCTCCCTTATGCACACACTTCAACCTCATCCCGTTCTGCTGCAGTCATATAAAATATGTGGCAAGCATAAAGCCCCGTGATGGCTACAGCTGAAGCAGCGAAAATAGCAAAAATGAAATGAAATAAATAAAAAAAAAATAAATAAAAAAATTATATTAAGAGCGAATTGCAACAGACAGCAGACAGCAGCAGCAGCAGCAGCAGCAGCCAACAAAAAACGTAACCAGAACCCAATTTTGTGGCTGTTGCCAATGCGAGAGGCAATGGACGCAATGGTTGGCGCCGGCAAGCATCAACGAGTCACAGTGGAGCCCCAAATATGGCCAACAATAGCAGCCAGCAGCAAAACGGCTTAAACGCACAGTAGACAAAAGTGTGGGTCCATTTTGCATAATGTTACAAATGCCCGATTGGAAATTGACCAAAATACAAAGTGGCTCCACAATAGCCAAAGAAATAAAACCCATTCAACGGGCTATGCTCCTATCGTCGTCATTTTTCATTCCAAGACGATTATGACAAATATATATGTATGGATTCGTTTATATTGTGCGCACACACACACTCACACACACAGAGAGAGAGGGAGAGGCAGTCTGAATCGCTTGTAGAAGTAATTTAAGTTCGATTTCGCAAAGGTCGATCAACCGATTTTAATTGAATTTGGCATTGAATCGAAAGTTCAGCTAGACAACAGAGAAGCGCAGCTCGCAGCTCTGTTGCTTGGCGGCGGCATTAAAATAAAAGTCATTCAGAGCTGAGCAAGTCACCTGAAGCTAACTGTGAGGGCTATCGAATTATCTG